CTGCATGATAAGATTAACAGTACCAGGGTCCCCTTTGCTAAAAATCATCAGATCATCAGCAAAACACAAGTTGACAATTTTGGTTTTCTCACATCTCCAGTGGAATTTGAACATAACCCCCGAGCCCCTTTAAAATACCCCTGAAGGCTCCCATTGATACAGACCGAAAAAGAAGGGCTCGTGATACAAGCCTTTATCCAGGTAATCATGCAAGGAGGGAAAGCCATAGCTGTAAGAGTATCAATGATAAAGTCCCACCTCACAGTATCATAAGCCTTCATAATGTCCACTTTCATGGCACACTTAGGGGTAAGGGACTTTCTATGGTAGCCTCTCATAATCTCTTGGGACAGGAAAATATTGTCCGAAATCCTTCTACGTTGGACAAAAGCAGATTGCACAGGATCAATCAGATCAGGGAGAGCCAACTTAAGTCTATTAGCTATGATCTTAGCAATACATTTGTAGATGGTATTACAACAGGAAATGGGTCTATAGTCACCAACATGCATAGGATTGGGAACTTTAGGAATGAGAGCAATGATGGTACTATTGACCTCAGAAAGAAGTTTACCAGTGTCAAAGAAAGACTTGATGGCTAAGATGATATCCTTACCAACAATATCCCAAGAACTTTTAAAGAACCCAATTGAATACCCATCAGGACCGGGGGCTTTATTGGCTTTTAAAGACCAAAAAACCTCCTTGATTTCATTCTCAGAAACAGGTTTGGACATCAAATCATATTGAGAAGGAGAGACTCTTTTATGCACCAAAGATTGGATTCTCTCAAAACCATTATACTGATCCACAAAGGGAGTACCAAATAAATTGGTATAGAAATTGATGAAAGAGGTGTGGATATCAGAACTATTAGTAGACCTAGTACCATCACCCATATCAACACTCAAAATTTTCCCTCTATTGATATTGCTCTTCACAGACCTAAAGAAGAATTTGCTATTCCTGTCCCCAAGGCCAAGCCATTGCACTCTGGATTTTTGAAGAGCAAGACTTTCTTCTAATTTACTAAGCTCAATGTATTTTTTCAAATCCTCTCTCTCCTGAACTTGCAACCCACTGCTCGCAGGATCTTTATCCAGCTTATACTGAATCAGATCCAAATTAGCCTTAGCAATTTGAACACGAGTAGATATGTCACTAAAATCCTTCTTGTTCAAAAGCTTAAGGCTAATTTTAAGTTGCCTAAGTTTCTGACAGCCCCTAAACATAGGAACGCCCCGAATATACTGGCCCCAAGTGTTAGAAACAGTACTCAGAAAATCTGGATGTTGAGACCAAAAATCAAAATATTTGAAGGGTTTCTTGAAGGAGCTCTTAGCAGCACTGATATTGACCACAGCAGGGGAATGGTCAGAAATTCCAGACGGAAGGAAATTGGCAGTAGCCTCAAGAAATTTGTCCTGCCAAGCCTCATTAACCAAGACTCTATCTATTTTTGTAGCAATATAAGCCCCCTCACTCCTTTTGTTAGCCCAGGTGAATTGGCAACCACCATAAGATAAGTCCGCCAACTCAGAGGCATTCACATAAGAATTAAATTCCTCATTTTCATTTGTCCAATTAGACGACCCCCCAATTTTTTCCTGCTGGTATCTAATAGCATTAAAATCACTCAGGAAAACACAAGGAGCTTTGGATTTAACACGGATCTATCATACATAGATTCAAAAAAAACCTTTCTCAGAGTGTGCTTATTATCAGCATAGACAAAAGTTGCATAAAATATTTCATTGGAAGCCAATTCAACAACTTTACACAAAATATGCTGATTAGACATAGAAAGCATTTGAACATCACAAAAAGCATTGTTCCAGCACACCCAGACTCTACCAGTTTTAGTTGGTTGTGAATTAGAGAGCATGAACCATTGACCAAAACATTTTACACAAATACTACTCTCATTTAACTGTTTTATTTTAGTTTCCAAAACCCCCATGACATGAATATTTTCTTTAAGCACAAAATTTTTAACTTCTTTTTGTTTAGAAGGATCATTCAATCCTCTAACATTCCAGGAAGTAATTTTGACATTCATAGGGACACAAAAAGAGAGAGTGACAATCCACAACCAACTAAAACTGAGTTACCTCTTCTTCTTCCTCTAGCTGCTGCTACCTTTGCCAGAGGGTTTATTCTTCACCTGCTGGGATGGAGTAGCAGAGCTAGCGTGCACCATTTCAGCCTTAGTTTCCTTTATTACTGTGTCCACCACTTCTGCAGAAATTGGAGCCACTATTTTAGCAATCTCAAAAATCCTCTTTTGAAACCTATCCACATCACTGCTATCAGAACTATGCTCTTCCCCGGATAGGCTCTTGTCAGCTGAAGTCTCCTGAGTATCAAGGGATTGATCAGATGAGTCCACCCTTGTAGTTGCAGGTTCAGGAGTTGGAGCTTCTTGGTTTTCCACCCCTGCAGGCAAAGGTACAGAAACTGGGTCTGGGTCTGCCTCCACTTCTGGTATCGTTTCCAACTCAGGTTCACCCACCTTCCTCTTACCCTTAGCTTGAACAGTGGTCCACCCTTCTTCCTGAGCATTGATATTTTCCTCAGATGTCTTCTGCAGGGAGATCAACTGAGCCACTTGTTTAGACACACACTTTTCAGTGCTATGTCCAAATATTTGACAGTGTTGACAACGGGATGGCAGTCCCTAATATTCAGCTCGGATTAGAACAGCATCATCAGCATGCCTAATTTGAAAGTAGGTAGGCAGTTTTGAGGTGGCCTCAATTTCCACACAGACTCTAGCAAACGCCACCCTGCTACCCCGCGCCGTAAGCTGGTCCATGAAAAGGGGATTACCAATGGCACTGGCAATCCTACTCAAACCATCAGGATCCCAATATTCCAAAGGAATATTAAAGAATTTCACCCAGACAGGGATTTTGGTTGATTTATCTTTTGTTAGTTTCATCATCCTTTTCCACTGTTTCAGAATAAGGAGATAACCACCTATATACCACGGACCTCCTTCAAGGACTTCTCTGCAACAATGAGGGGTGTCGAAAATGAAGAACATAAATCCATCCCCATTAGTTAAAACCTCCTTGAGGCCCTTAGCTTTCCACAGCCCAAAGGCACTGTTACGCAGATAGTTGTAACCCACTCCCTTGTCAACAAAATAACCCACAAGGCAAGAATCCCATTTCTCAAGCGGATCAGTTCTCGAAGGCATATTCACAACAACACTATCCTCAAAAGTAGTAGGAGGGATATACCTGAGCTTGATATTTGAGCGGGTAGATGTGGCCGTGATGTTTGCCCAGGAGCGTTGTTCTGGGCCCTCGATGGTCCTGTTCCCAGCGGCACCACCGCGACCTCCTCTTCCCCCACGATAGCTTCCACCCCCCCGAACGGCTCCTCCTTGGGAAGATGAGGAATCCCTAATCGGTATTTGTACATCAGCAACAAAGGTCATACCTGGATCTGCTGATTCAACACTGTTCTTGTTTTCCCCTCGATTACGCGCTACGACCACACTATCTGGAAGATTTAAGAAACTATTATACTCTTCCTCCACTATATCAGACCAACTCGTGCTGATAGCATTGCCAATCGGCGTCGAAGGCTCGTAGCTCGGTGTAGGAGGCATCGGCTCTTTCAGTTTCTCCGAAGGCGCAATATCCTCTGTTACCAAATCAACCTCAAAACCATACCGATCTGCCACAGAAACTTCAACCTGCGTTTGGATCTCCACATCAGACGAGTTAGCCATCGGAATCCCCGCACCTGCACCATCACTAGGATTTGAAGGAATTTCCATCGATGTTTCGTTCAAAATCGCAAATCTATTCTCGGATAACCCTAGATTTAGATCGACCACTTTAGGGTTATTACCTCGCACGCCCTTACCCGTAATACCCTTGTTAATCTCACCCATGTTAGCATTAACTCCAGACATCGGTAATCAATGAGGTATTGAAACCCTAGAAAACCAGGTTTTCTAGAGAGATGTCAGAGCTTCTCTCACTAACCCATCGGTGATTCAATTTAAACTTAAGTGGCCTAGTTTAACTCAAACTAACCTTGCTTAGCCTCTAAGAAAAAGAATTTACTGACTAATTGTAGTTTAATGATACTAGTTTAACATAAGCACCTCATTTAAGGTTTTCCAAATCACCTAAGTGTTCGATTCTCAAGTCCAGAAAGATGAATTTGAATCCCCTTGATTTCCTTCCTATTACTCTTTCTTTTCACTAACTTTCTCTTCTACCTCTCAAGATGAATGTTTCTCTCTAACTTTCTTTGTCCTTCTCCATTCTTCTCTATTTTGTTGCAGGAACTAATTATTAGTTTAGGCCACTAATTGTTTCCTTAACTTAAGTGGTCAAGTTTAACTCAGACTAACGTTACTTAGCCTCTAAGAAAGAGAGTTTTTTGAGTAATTTTTGCATAACGATATTAGTTTAAAACTTAATCAACTCGTTTAGAGGTTTTTTTTTTTTTTTTTAGGAGAGTACATTTAAGGTTTTCTAAATCACCTAAGTGTTCAATTCCCAAGTCCAAAACGATGAATTTGAATTCCCTTTGATTTCCTTTCTATTACTATTTCTTTTATCTAACTTTCTATTCTACCTCTTAAGAAGAATGTTTCTCTCTAACTTTCCCCGTCCTTCTCCATTCTTCTCTATTTTGTTCCAGAAGCTATGTAGCTTAGGCCACTAATTGTTTCGTTAGCTTAAGTAGCCAAGTTTAACTCAAACTAACCTTGCTTAGGCTAAACTTAAAGCTACTGACTGTGATTAACTTGTGGAGAGAATAACAAAGAGAATTAAAAGCTGGACAAATAAGTGTCTCACTTGTGCTGGTAGAGCCCAGATGATCCAATCTATTTTTTCTCTATGCAAGTGTTCTGGACCTCTTTGTTTATTCTTCCAAAGAAGGTCATTCGTTCCATAGAGAGTCTGTTTAGAGCCTTCTTCTGGTCTGGGTGTGAGCTGAAAAAGTATGGGGCTAAGGTGTCTTGGGATAGAATGTGTTCTCCTAAAAATGAAGGGAGCTTGGGGTTTAAGTCTCTCATTGTGTGGAACAAGGCTGCTGTTGCTAAGAATGTCTGGTTCCTCTTCTCTGGAGGTGAGCAATCTATGTGGTGCCTTTGGATTAAATCTTATATCCTCGAAGGTAGAAGTTTTTGGAGAGTTAGGGTGTCAAATGGCCCCTCCTGGGTTTGGAGGAAAATTCTTTCTCTTAGACCTATCATTTACCCTTTAATCAAACATAGGGTGGGAAATGGTTCTAGGATATTTCTTTTGTTTGATAACTGGCACCCTATGGGATCTGTGTGGTATAGATTTGGGGTCAGAATTGTTTATGATTCTGCTTTGGGTTTAGATGCTAAGGCTAGTGAGATTGTGGAGGGGACTACTTGGAGATAGCCTTTCCCTTCTTCATGGGAGCTTATGGACCTCATTTCTAGTACTCCTTATACCTTTCTCCCTACTGGTGGGTCTGATGATGTTAGTTGGAGTCCTGCTGGTAATGGTAAATTTACTATCCAGTCCACATGGCATTCCTTAAGGCAGCATTTTGATCATGTGAACTAGTCTAAGATTATTTGGGGGCCTCATAATATCCCTAAAGTGAGTTTTGTGGTGTGGATGGCTATCCTTGGTAGATTGAACACTGGAGAAAGATTAAAAATCTTTGGTGTGACTCAATCTACTGAGTGTGTTTTCTGCCAACATCCATGTGAAGACAACAACCACCTTTTCTTTGAGTGTCCTTTCTCTGAAAGAGTTTAGTCCTGCATAAAAGGTAAAATGAATGTTGACTAGCCATCAACAATTCCTTGGAATGATTTGGTCCAGCTTATTGCTAACTCTGTGAGAGGGAAGTCTTTAGGGACTATTATTACCAAGCTTGCCTTTACTTGTACTGTGTACCAGCTATGGATTGCTAGGAATAATAGAGTTTTTGGTAAGGATATGGTCCCTGAAAAGGTGGTTATAAAGTGTATTGTGGATATGGTTAGATTCAGGGTAATACATATTACCAATTTGAATTCAGACCATACTGATAGATGGTACTTGAGCTCATGGAGACTACCTTATACTTTGCTGAAGCATGCTGTATCTGATGTGAGGGATGTGAGTTCACAAACTGTGGGTTGTGTGAAGGTAAGCATATACACTGTGGGGGTTCCTAATGTTTGTTATTGTTATAGGTATGCGGACCATAGGGAAGGAGAGGCTTGAGTGTATGCCATATTCTATGAGGGTTGAGTATAGTGTGAGGAATAAACTAGCTCCTAACCCAATATCACTAGCCATATTGAGAGGGACTAACATGTTTTTATATATTTCCTGTATTTTTTTTATTTTGCAGGTATATGGAGTAACGTTTCTCGAGTGATGTGAGCATATATATTTGTGGGTTGAGTGTAGTGAGCATCTATATGTGTGGTGTGAAATGCGACTTGTCATTGTTTCTTAATTATTATTGGTTTGTTGATCGGCTAATCTTATCTCGATATCTATTGCTGACAGGGTATACTATAATGTTTAAACTCTGTTTGGGATGCATGGGGTGGCAGAACAATACCTCCCTTGATGGTGCTGTCTGGTTCGGTATTCAGTTTTGGTTCTTTCGAGCTTTGGAGCTGACTGTGTTCGTGTTAATGGCTGCTGGAGGCGCCTCTTTGTGTGAAGAAAGACTTTATTTTATGTTGTTTTGCTTAGTTTGTTTTGTTAGATGGCCTACCCGTGCGGGCTTTGCACGGGGGTACAAAACAATGTGGTTACTCTCGGCTATTTGCTACATAGCTATATGGGTGTGTTCATGTTCCTCATCAAATCTGCATGCGGCCCATGAACACATTTTGGGTTGTTTTCCATTATGATTGGGTTCTCTAGTTTTAATTTTGTTTTTTCTTTCTTTTCTTTTTTTGACCGTTTAGATATGTGATGTTAACAGTTTATACTGGTTTGGTTTAGGCCTCTTTGGCTTTGTTTTGTTTATTTTAGTTTCTTGGTCCTACTTCTTGTATAGTGTTTGGCTTGGGCCTGGGGTATGCCCCTTGTAATGGTGTAAGTTTTTTGTCTTTTATTTTATGACTTATCCACCCAAAAAAAAAACCTTGCTTAGGCTCTAATAAAGATAATTTTCTGAGTAATTGTAGCTTAACGATATTAGTTTAACTTACGCACCTCATTTAAGGTTTTCTAAATCACTTAAGTGTTCAATTCACAAGTCCAAAAGAATGAATTTGGATTCTCATTGCTTTATTTTCTATTACTATTTCTTTTCTTTAACTTTCTCTTCTACCTCTCAGGAAGAATGTTTCTCTCTACCTTTCTCTGTCCTTCTCCATCCTTCTCTATTTTGTTCAACAAAACAATTGGTTTAGGCCGCTAATTGTTTCAGTTGCTTATGGGGGCATATACCCTAGGGATGCCCAACAACAAATAAATAAACGATTACAAAACCAATATAAAATTACCATTGCAACCCCCTAAGATTTAGGGGAAAAATACAACCCAACCAAGCAAACACGGGAGAACAACAAAAAACAAAATAACCCAACTTTGCCCATATATTTTTTTTGTCCCCCAGTAACCCTTACCATCAAAGATAATAGATGAAAGCTTGGGGTGGATATATGGGCAAAGATACAAATAAACACCACAAAGCTTATAAAACACAGTAAACATACTCACAAAGCAACAACTCTCAGGCCTAATCAAAATGATAACCACCCCTACGTGCCTCCAGTCTCTACTGCAGATAGACACATGGAATCCAATAAGCATCCCACTCTTCACAGCTGTGACAAACGAAAAAACCCACCTCATGAGAAATCTTGACAAAATCACATGAAGCTAACACGATCAGTAATCATAATCAGTAGTCTTGGGAGTTGTAGCGAAAATCGATAGCCCCACAATAACAAACCAATACATAGCCAAAAATAGCATGAGAGCAATCATCACATCCCCCAATCCCTTCCTTGGTAGATCACAAGCCTTAATCCCCACGGCAGTGTGCCCTTCACTCCATGTCAGGCGTGGCAATGCTATCAATTAGGATGGGTCACATGAAGACAATGAAGCAACCAGAAAACCAGAATGCATATTACCAATTTGAATTCACACCATACTGATAGATGGTACTTGAGCTCATGGAGACTACCTTATACTTTGCTGAAGTATGCTGTATCTGATGTAAGGGATGTGAGTTCACAAACTGTGGGTTGAGTGAAGGTAAGCATATACACTGTGGGGGTTCCTAATGTTTGTTATTATTATAGGTATGCGGACCATAGGGAAGGAGAGGCTTGAGTGTATGCCATATTCTATGAGGGTTGAGTATAGTGTGAGGAATAAACTAGCTCCTAACCCAATATCACTAGCCATATGGTTGCTGAACAGTGTGTTTTTTGGGCTCTCTTTTGCTTTATCTTTCTTGGTTGTTGATCTTGCTGTATAGTTGGTTGTAGGGCCTGGGGTATTCCCCTTGTAATCTTGTATATCCTTTGTCTTTTTTTATGTCTTATTCACCCAAAAAATATTGAGAGGGACTAACATGTTTTTATATATTTCCTGTATTTTTTTTATTTTGCAGGTATATGGAGTAACGTTTCTCGAGTGATGTGAGCATATATATTTGTGGGTTGAGTGTAGTGAGCATCTATATGTGTGATGTGAAATGCGACTTGTCATTGTTTCTTAATTATTATTGGTTTGTTGATCGGCTAATCTTATCTCGATATCTATTGCTGACAGGGTATACTATAATGTTTAAACTCTGTTTGGGATGCATGGGGTGGCAGAACAATACCTCCCTTGATGGTGCTGTCTGGTTCGGTATTCAGTTTTGGTTCTTTCGAGCTTTGGAGCTGACTGTGTTCGTGTTAATGGCTACTGGAGACGCCTCTTTGTGTGAAGAAAGACTTTATTTTATGTTGTTTTGCTTAGTTTGTTTTGTTAGATGGCCTACCCATGCGGGCTATGCACGGGGGTACAAAACAATGTGGTTACTCTCGGCTATTTGCTACATAGCTATATGGGTGTGTTCATGTTCCTCATCAAATCTGCATGCGGCCCATGAACACATTTTGGGTTGTTTTCCATTATGATTGGGTTCTCTAGTTTTAATTTTGTTTTTTCTTTCTTTTCTTTTCTGACCGTTTAGATATGTGATGTTAACAGTTTATACTGGTTTGGTTTAGGCCTCTTTGGCTTTGTTTTGTTTATTTTAGTTTCTTGGTCCTACTTCTTGTATAGTGTTTGGCTTGGGCCTGGGGTATGCCCCTTGTAATGGTGTAAGTTTTTTGTCTTTTATTTTATGACTTATCCACCCAAAAAAAAAACCTCGCTTAGGCTCTAATAAAGATAATTTTCTGAGTAATTGTAGCTTAACGATATTAGTTTAACTTACGCACCTCATTTAAGGTTTTCTAAATCACTTAAGTGTTCAATTCACAAGTCCAAAAGAATGAATTTGGATTCTCATTGCTTTATTTTCTATTACTATTTCTTTTCTCTAACTTTCTCTTCTACCTCTCAAGAAGAATGTTTCTCTCTACCTTTCTCTGTCCTTCTCCATCCTTCTCTATTTTGTTCAACAAAACAATTGGTTTAGGCCGCTAATTGTTTCAGTTGCTTATGGGGCATATACCCTAGGGACGCCCAACAACAAATAAATAAACGATTACAAAACCAATATAAAACTACCATTGCAACCCCCTAAGATTTAGGGGAAAAATACAACCCAACCAAGCAAACACGGGAGAACAACAAAAAACAAAATAACCCAACTTTGCCCATATATTTTTTTTGTCCCCCAGTAACCCCTACCATCAAAGATAATAGATGAAAGCTTGGGGTGGATATATGGGCAAAGATACAAATAAACACCACAAAGCTTATAAAACACAGTAAACATACTCACAAAGCAACAACTCTCAGGCCTAATCAAAATGATAACCACCCCCTACGTGCCTCCAGTCTCTACTGCAGATAGACACATGGAATCCAATAAGCATCCCACGCTTCACAGCTGTGACGAAGGAAAAAACCCACCCCATGAGAAATCTTGACAAAATCACATGAAGCTAACACGATCAGTAATCATAATCAGTAGTCTTGGGAGTTGTAGCGAAAATCGATAGCCCCACAACAACAAACCAATACATAGTTAAAAATAGCATGAGAGCAATCATCACATCCCCCAATCCCTTCCTTGGTAGATCACAAGCCTCAATCCCCACGGCAGTGTGCCCTTCACTCCATGTCAGGCGTGGCAATGCTATCAATTAGGATGGGTCACATGAAGACAATGAAGCAACCAGAAAACCAGTAGCTAACCTCCCGCTCATCTCCCAGTCTCTAACTCAGGTAGTCATCAAACCACTATTCCCCATAGCAGTGACTCCTCA